AATACTGCAGGCCATTCCCACCTGGAGGCTCTGGCTCCTTCTGGGTGCTCTGAGTCACCTTGCCCATGAGTGTTTACTCTGCGTGGGGCTCAGCTTAGACCTGGAGCCATCGTGCAGGTGCAGCTTGGAGCAGAGTGGGTTGTGGCTGTGCTGCTGGCCTCAGCAATGTGCCTTTGTGGGGTGACAGGTCCTGGCCGCAGCAACTCACCCTGGGCTCTGGACCCAAGAGAGGGGCCAGCTTGCATGTGCATCTCTGGGCCTGCATGCCCTCTCCCCAGAGGGCAGGGCACTGCCGGTGGCACATGGCCCTGTCCTCCTCGTATGCACTACAGTGAGCCCTCTGCCCTCAGTGCCTCCTCGCTGGGCTGCCTGGCAGACTTTCAGCCTGACTGGCCCTGCCCCACTGGCTGCCCTTGCACAGGTGAGATGGTGAGATGGATGCCCAGGAACACAAAGATGCCCTGGAGAGCTCGTCAGGGGCCCTGTGGTCTGCTCAGCCCCACACTCTCAGCCCTCGCACTGCTTCTGGACTCCATACACCCAGGGGAACATGGCTGGATCTTTCCTACATCCCCCTGCGGCTCCAGCCAGCGCTTTCTAAATTTCTGTGTCCAATGCAAGGTGGAGAAACACCTCAAATGTCAAAGGGAAGAGCCCATGGGGCACTGAGCTGCTAGGCAGGTGGCAGGCTGTCCTCTGAGCACCAGGGTGATGTGCAGGCCATCCTGGGCTGTGGGGGAGCTGCTGTGATGCCTGTACAGGCTCAGCAAGGCTGGGGGAGGAGGGCTGGGGCATGCTTGGTCCTGCATGGGAATTGCTGTGAATGGCTCTGCTACCTAGCCCTGTCCCTGGAGGGAGAGTGAGCAAGTGAGAGAAGCTGCTGAATCCTTAGGAGAAGAAGCAGCTACTGTAACTTTTTTTTTTTTTTAAGTTAAAGACAAAAGAAGCCTTGGAGAGAAAAAAAAAAGAAAAAAAAGAAAATTACTTTATTTTTCTAAGTGTTAAACTCAGTATTTATGTAATTCTTTAAGGAATAAAAGTTTGGCTCCTGTACAGTTTTAATGGGGTTTGTACCAGGGGGATGGGAGAGGGGTGGGTGGGCGGGCATGGAGGCAGGAAAGGGGCCTTGCTTTTGAGTTTGTATTGTAACCTTGGACATGTTCCCTCAGCATTAGCGTTTAAGCTGCACTCTCCATCCACCAGCATGTGCCAGGGATCAAGCTGAACTGAGTGGGATGCTTGTTTCCTACTTACCTGTAATGACGACTTCATACCTATAATTTTGGGCTTAATGGGCAGAAGGCAAGTGAAGACCAGCAGTGGTTGGTCTCTGGAAGTGGTAAACCCATTCCTCAGAAGCAGGCAGTTTGCAGTGTGCCCAGGAGCCAGAGGTGGGCTGGGTTTTCTGATGACTGCCCTGTTCACTTCTGATCCAAGGAGCTAGAGCTGTTCTGTCACTGCTCTTGGCACCGAGCAGTGCTGCCTGTGACTGCCTAAGGGATATGGGTGTCCCCACTCCTCCCTGTGGTGAGTGACCAGCAGTGGCTAATCCCTGTTCTCCCTGCTTGCTGTGCAGGCAGCATCTCCTGAACTCCTGGGTGACAGTCTGGGCTGTAGTTCCCCTTTACTGCCATTCTGCAGCACACAGACGGGGACAGGTCTCCTCCAAGCTCCCTGTGCAGAGTTCCCAGAAGAGCCTTTCAGCCCTTGATCTGTTAGCAGCCTGTGAAGGGCTTGTGGGGAGTGGCCCATCTGGTGAGGGTGATGTTGCATGCTGCCTCCACTTAGAATTCTTGCTCTAAGAGTGATGCAAACCCTGCAGCTCAGAGCATGTGGGAGTGTTGAGCCATTTCCCATGGCTCAGTGTAGGAAAACTGTTCCATGATGCTTCCAAAACCATGTAGGTACCTAGGAGTTCATCCAGGGAGAAGTGTGGGATCAGAGTTTGCATTGTCCTTTGCCCCAGCACATCACTGTGGCCTGGCTTTGCTCTGCTTTGCTTCTGCTGGCACTATGGAGCAGAGCTGTTGGGCCAGAACGGCAGGAGAGCCCCTGCTGCTACAGGGTGTGTGACTGCATCCCCTCCCTGGCTCCCCAAAGGCAACTGCTGGTTAAACGCTAATGGTGTATTTTATTTAAGTGCAGACTTGTAAGAACACTTGTGTATCAGGGATGAAATGGCATTTATTGTGTGGTGACATTTTTAGTTCATTTTGCTGGTTTGAGGGGGGTGTGTGCGTGCGCGCGCGCGTGTGTGTGTGTGTGTAAGCATAAGTGTGTGTGGGATTATTTTTTTTTCCCTCCAGTTTCCAGGGTTGTGTTTCTGGAAGGATGTGGAAGTAATCACAGTACTATGTACAGAGCTTTCTTTTGTATTAAAAAAAATTTACTCTTTCAATAAATGTTATCATTTTGTGCACAGATTTGGGATCTTGACCATGCTTTGCAGCAGGGGATGACACACGCCTTAGGGCAAACAAATGGGGATTGGGGCAGATTCCTGCACCTGCTTGTGTTCTGAGCAGGATGGGGAGCTATCTGAGCATGACGTGGCAAAGAGGGGCTCTTTGCAAAAGTTTCTATCCATACTGCCTCCTGCACAGGTTATTCCTGACCACCTGGACTTATCCTCTGGAATCTCAGCCTAATGTGTGGGCCAGACAGGGCCAGTGCCTGACAGAAGGGCTGTGAGGGCTCTTTCCTGAAAGCTCTGGAACAATCTCCCTGGTGAGCAGGGCATGGTGTCAGTCAAGAGAAGTAAAAACCAGCAATGAGGAGGAACGAGGTATTTTGAAAAGGAGTTGTTGTAATTCATGTGTGTTAATCGGGAGGAACAGGGAGACTTAAATTCCCTGCAGAAAACTGCTATGAGATGATAAGGCAATATTCAAAATCCAGTCTGGAGAGACATCACTTAGTCAGAGGCCTAGAAGCCAGATCAAGGACACATGGAGGCTCAGCAAAGTGTCCAAAGGTATAAATAAAAGCAAAGAGAGAGGCTGATTGCAATCATCAGGGCTGCTGGGGCCAGAGTATGCCAGCTAAAAAAGCAACTACTGGCCACTCCATAGCATCAGATCCTGGAGCAGCTGCCAGTGTAGTGTGAGGAAAGCTTGGCACTGATAAAAGTATGCAGTTGGGAGAAAATACCTCAGGAGGGAAGAGGATTGTGCAGAAAGTACTTAGGAGCAAAAGATGTCTGAAATGGCTCTTTCCCCATTAGGAGGTGAGGTGCCTCTTACAGTACAACCTCACTTTTAGCCCTGTGCCTACACAGGTGTGGCTTGTGGTTCAACACCACAACCACTCTTTCAGCACAAGCAATCCCACATCACCTGTGCACAGGGGCTTGTGTGTCACTTATACACCATGGAGCAAGATACCACAGATACATATATATCTTTGTTTTTAGGATAAATGACTTACTAAGCATGGAGGCCATCAGAGCAAAGACATAAACAGGCTGTGTGAATACCACAGAAAACCTCTCACAGAAAACAAGGATGTCTTGGTAGTGAACAGGGAAGGAAAATGACATCTTAATTGAAAACAGAGATTTCAAGAGCATCCATGGGATTCTTGAAAGAAATTATCAACAGAGATCACATGTACTAATGGAGGAATCAAGAGTGTAGCTTGGAAACATAAACCTTTACAATCCACCAATGGTGCCACAGATTTAGAGGATGGTCTCCACAAACTGATGTAGCATTTCACTGTTTTATCCAGCCTATAATTAATTGCAATTATATTGTTTGGATTAATTGCTGACTGCAATTGTAAAATGTGGAAATTGTCTAATCCATTTCATTAGTACTGAGGGTAGAAATTAGGTTGGGCACATACAAGTTACTCCAGGATCAAATAAAAAAGCAAATACTCATCCAGTTAGCTGGTGATTTTAATGACTGTTTATAATTTAAAACAAATCTTATCAGACTGATAGAAACTTGTATCCCAAGGAAGGGAAGTGTGGGCACAGGATAAGAATTTAGATTTTATGGTATGGCCATTTCATATCAGTGTAACACCAGAGCTGGAAAGGAGCTGGAAGCAGGCCAAACTTGTGTGCAGCTGGCTTCAACTGGCTCTGCAGCAACACTGAGAACAGGGCAGTCTCAGAGCCCCAAACCTGCCTGGAGCCAGCGCAGCTGTCACTGAAGCCAACAGGGTGGATGAGGGTGGGTGCAGGGCTGGAAGCACCCCAGGGCCAGAGGCCTGACATTGCTACACTGTAATTCTTGATTAATGGTGCATTTGCAGTAATAATATTAGTGCTGACATGACATGCTTTTAGCTTTCCTGCCACACATCCTGCTACAATTAATCACCAGAGAAATGGTACCAACACACAGCATAACATTGCCACCTTACCAAAAAGCAGCTCGCTCTAGCAGATGCCTTCTTCAGCTTGCAACTTCCATTTGTTCTGGTTTCTAACATCAGCCAGGGGAATCAGAAGATATTCCAATCTTTCATCTTTTTCCGCCGCTCACCACCATTTCTGGTGTGGGGGAACAGCAGCTTTGTGACTCATGGCCACAGACAGGCCCGGGTGCCAGCTCAGGCCTGGAAACCCTTTGGGAGCCATGAGCTGTCCTGAGGGACCCTGTGGGGCAGCCAGCAGAGCTCTTGTGGCACATTCCCAATGGAATCCTGGGGTGCACTGGGAACTGCAGTGCCAGCAGGTCAGGGAGGTGATCCTGCCCCTCTACTCAGCCCTGGTGAGGCCAGTCTGGAGTGCTGTGCCCAGTTCTGAGATCCTCAGGACAAGAGAAACGTGGAGCTCCTGGAGAGGGTCCAGCAGAGGGTGACACAGATGATGAAGGGACTGGAGCACCTCAGTTCTGAGGAGAGGCTGGGGGAGCTGGGCCTGCTCAGCCTGGAGAAGAGACACTGAGAGAACCTCATCAATGTCTGTCAGTGCCTGCAGGGAGGGGCCAGAGCATGGCCAGGCTCAGCTCGGTGGGGCTGGGCAATGGGACAAGGGCAGTGGGACAATGGGGCAGGAGCTGAGGCTCAGGAAGCTCCACCTGAACATGAGGAAGAACTTCCCCGTGCAGCGCCCGAGCAGATTGCCCAGACAGATTGCCCAGAGAGGTTGTCACTGGGGATGGTCAAGAACCATTTGGACGCTATCCTGTGCCATGTGCTCTGCGATGACCCTGCTTGAGCAGGGGGGTTGGAGCCGATGACCCACGGCGGTCTCTTCCGACCTGTCCCATCCCGGGATTCTGAGGGACGGCGGGGACTCGGCGGGGACACGGCGGGGACTCGGCGGGGACACGGCGGGGACTCGGCGGGGACTCGGCGGCGCGCGGGCGCGGGACGCGCGGCTCCCGCCATTCCCCTGTCCCTCGCCGCCTCCCGTAGGGGGCGCGGAAGCCGCGCGCTGCTTCCGGCGCTCCCGGTGGCGCCGGGGCCGCTGGAGCCGCGGGCAGGGCCGGACGGCGCCTCCAGGGCCGCTGCCTTCTCCCCCTCGGGGCTGAGCCGGCTCCCCGCCTGCCGGGGCCGGGCCCTGCCCGGCTCGCCGTGGCTCCGAGGGCAGCGGGACAGCGGTGAGCGAAGGGCCGGCACACGGGCGCGGCTCGCCGGGGTGTCCGGGACGGCCCGGAGCAAAGCCCGTGTGTTCCGCGGCGCCAGGACCGAGGCGCGTCGCTGCGAGCTGTCCTCTGTGTCTGTGCACTGTACGAACTCATTTAAGGAAAGCAATTCTTTGGCTTGTGGTGTGGCATCTAAAGGCTGTTAGAAAGCACAGGAGAATAACTTGTTTTTTTTATTACAGAGGCTGCAAGAAAATTCCCATCTGGCATGCTGCAAATTCCAATGAAGGCACCACAATTGAAGGTAAGCATGAATGTCTTGGGAGTTCAGGCTGCTTCTCTCTGCACCTGGAAAATATTTAAAATGTGCCTATCATAGTCTTTGATGGCTGGTATCTTCTTTGGTTAAGCATGGATTGACTGTTTCTCTGCTATCTGGCTTCACTGCTTCTCTTGCCAGTGTGTGTAAGTGGTAGGAGCATTTCCCCTTTCCACCTGGCTGAGCTTCTTGCTATCGGCCTGATCTGGAAGCCTTTGTGAGCTCAGTCCCTGGTTTTGACTGCAGCTGGCTTGCTGATTGCTGGCACTCAGTCCTGGACAGCAAATTATTTCCATGCTGCTTTTTGCATAGATGAAAGCAGAGAAGCACTTGTCTTCTTTATGGTCCCAAGATGCAGAACAGTCAGGAAACAGAGAGTAGAAATATTTTAGTTCTGTGGAATTTGTCCATTGATGAAACATTGTAAAGGCAAAGAATTCTGAGAAGAGGGCAAGGAGGAAATGCTGAGAGACTTTCAGGTAGTGAGGCTGATTTGATGTGTATGAATTAGATCTGAGAAACTGCTAGTTATTTTCTTCGGGGCCTGGTGATGTGAAGGTTGCTGGGCACAGTGAGAGTACCATGAACTCTAGGTGAACTCACACTCTAAAACAGTTATAAATGGTAAATAGGAAGAGGGAAGACAGAAGTGCAAAAACAGCAACTTGTAAGGGTCATATTATGGGCAGTGGCAGGGATGCGAACAGGACTAAAATCTCTCGTCATATTTTGCTATCTTATAAAGGGCCCTATTTTGCCTTCATGTTTTGTGTTAGTTTTCTTATTGAGGAGAACCTCCTTCTATGTGTGCACTAATGCTTGGGACTGTTTCTTTTAATGAAAAATTGCCTTATTTTCTTGGAAAGGGAGTGTGAGCCTCTGTAAAGTGGGTTTTCCTTCAAAGCATTATTCTAGGATCTCAGAATCAAAAGCTGTGCCACAACCACTTCTACTGTCAGTGCTAGCTCATACTTTCCCCAGCATGCAGCTCAGGAATAAAAGCTTGACCCTGCTTTCCCTCTGTCTCTGCAGACACATCTGCTGCCATGGTGAATGAGAAGCACAATGGCACCCTGCTTGTGCAGCTGGGGCCCAAGCTGCAGGCCCACCCAGAGAAGCTGCTCCGGCAGCGGCGGGGCCACGACGACCGTCCGGAATACCTGGTGCAGTGGAGCGTTGTTAGCTTGGAAGAGAGAGCAGCGGGAGGCGGCAGTGCCTCCT